CGGGAATTTTTCCTTCAACTTCAGAACAGAGTGGCTAAGCCCTACTTTTTAACTGTTGAAATTACAGGATATGGACTCTCGTGGAACTCTAATCTACCTGGTCATTTACTTTCTGCTTCAGATGATTGTACTGTTTGCTTGTGGGATGTCCAGGCTGCCACGTCTCAGTCTGTTTATTTGGATGCGAAAACAGTTGAGCTTATTATCTGCTAGATTTTTGTACCATAGCATTTTAAAATATAAATAGTTGATCTCTGAATCTTCCTGTTTTTGTAGTGATCTTGTTATTCATTTAGATCTGGTCACTGACTTTTATTTTTCTGTAACATTAGTTTAGATTTTCAATGGACATAGTTCAGTAGTGGAAGATGTCGCCTGGCATGTGTTGCATGACGCGGTTTTCGGTTCAGTAGGGGATGATAAGAAGCTGATGATCTGGGATACGAGAAATAACAGCAACACAAAACCTGCACACACTGTGGAAGCTCACACTGCCGAAGTCAACTGTCTGTCGTTCAATCCCTACTCTGAATTCATTTTAGCAACTGGCTCGGCTGACAAGGTTTTTATTTTAAATGTACTATCTCGTATATTTATTATGTGCAACAGCGAATGTATTTTTAGACGGTTGCCCTATGGGATTTACGAAATCTCAAGTTAAAGTTACACTCGTTCGAGTCACACAAAGATGAAATATTCCAAGTGCAGTGGTCTCCTCACAATGAAACCATTTTGGCTTCATCGGGTACTGATCGGCGTCTTCATGTTTGGGATCTGAGTAAAATTGGCGAGGAACAAACTCCTGAAGATGCTGAGGACGGGCCTGCTGAATTGTTGTTCATTCATGGAGGGCATACAGCAAAGGTTTTTTAGTTTTTAAAGGAGAGATAGTTTATTTATTTCAAAGTTGTTTCTGTTTTACGTTTATTAATTAGCTACTTACTGTTTAGATATCTGATTTCTCGTGGAATCCTAATGAACCGTGGGTCGTTTGTTCTGTCTCGGAAGATAACATTATGCAAATTTGGCAGATGGCTGACAACATATATAATGAGGAAGATTCTGAAACTCCTGGTGACCAATTGGATCGCTGAAATATTTGATACTTTGATCTCATTGATCTCGTTGTATTTTTATAAGATTTTTCACTTCCACCACTGAGTTCTGAGTGTCAACATGTTTATGTTTCTTACCGCACCTGTTGAATGAGATTAATATTTCAAATTTTTGATAACATTTCTCAGTAGTAGTGGTAATTCGACAAATCCACTAATTTTTCCTCTTGTATGTGTATGACGTTACGTATTTTTTGCAACGGGGTTTTTTCTTTTTTATTCTTATTTCTTCCTTTCGCATTGCTGTATTATTGATTACAAATCCATATTTTGTATATTTGACTTGTTTGTTTTCTAGGAGTATTCAGGTTTTTACGACTTGTTACGATTTGGAAATTAGTAGTGATAAAATATTTGGCTTTTAATATTGTGCGCTGGTGTTTTTTTGTTGCAAATCAGTTTCCTTACAAGATCTTATGTTTCTTTCTATTTTTTTTCGTTTTTCAAGAGGGAAGTGGGGTAAAGTGGCAGGTGTCCGGATATAGTTTCATTTGTGTCCACTAGTCGCTGGAAACGTTGTGTTACCTTGCAGGAGTTGGAGGTACTGAGAAGGACTGAGCTTTGGTTCTACTGCTGCAAGTATCGTATTGGTCTTAGTTGTTTGCTGTCGCAATTATACGTCATAAATGGTTTGTTTGCTGCAGTCTGTTTTTGATTGACTAGTTAAGCTGACTTGGAGATCCGCAGGAATGTCTTGTTACAATGGTTCAATTTAGGCCCGAAATGCGGAAAAGGCGATGACAGCATTGGCTAGGTGGAGGCGCATGAAGGAAGAGGAAGAGAAGGGGCCAGTGGCAAAAAGGCCGAACGACGTTAGCGAATGCACTACTTTAAGTTAGAGAAGTTTTTTTGGTGATGAACATTGCTGGAAGTTGTGAGGAACATTCCCGTTGAGGTGTATTTTCCTGCGAGTTTTTGTTTGAATTTTGCAGGCGATGCAGAGCGTTACCGCAAGGAAGTTACAATGGAAATTGCAAAAAAAATTGCTCTAATACAGAATCCCGGTTTAGGAGAGTTCAAGATAAGGGACCTTAATGATGAAATTAATAAGCTCCTACGCGTGAAGTATGCTTGGGAAAGCAGGATTTTGGAACTTGGAGGACCAGACTATAGGTAAAAAACAGTAAGTTTTGTTTAATAGTGGAGGAACCCAGAAGTAGCCAGGGAATTAAGGAGAGATGAAATTCGTGTTGACTAAATTAACGCTCGTTTTTAGCTAGCAAAACAGTAGTATATATGTTTTTGCTAATGTTCTTTTTCCTTAGGGGTATTTGATTTTCACGTAGTTTACTGCAGGGTATCATTTCTTTGACAGAATTGGGACGTTTATTATGCGTTTTTTGGTTCCTTTGGAAAATTTTTTTCAAAAGTACTCGAAAGGTCGCTGTCAGTAAAGAAAATAATTATGAGAAATACACTGGCAATTCAATGCCATACGCAGTCTGCCTTTTTTGGGTTGAATAAAGAACATAGGTTGATTGGTTATTTTTCTCAGAACTCCTGAAGATATGAACTTTTGTCGCAGCTGGAGTACTGCATTGAATTAAAAGCTTTAAAAAATATTGTTTTGAAGGCGTGTAGCACCGAAAGAGCTTGATCGCGAAGGTCGCGAAATAGCCAATAATAAAGGTTATAAGTACTTCGGGGCCGCAAAAGACTTACCTGGAGTTCGAGAGTTGTTTGTAGAGAAGCCTGAAGTAGATCCAAATCGAAAAAATCGTAGTGAGTTGATGAAACATGTAAATGCAGATTATTATGGGTATATGGATGATGATGATGGTCTTCTTGTTCCATTAGAAGAGGAATCACAACAAATTGCTCGTATGGAAGGAGAAAAGGTTTTTATTTGTCCCGATATCGTTTATTTTGGCATCTGGTTAGGAGGTCTGGTTTTTGTATGAATCGATTTACTTACTCTAATGCTAACTCAGCAAGTAATCAATTTTCAGGAATGGGAGGAAAATAAGGATAAATGGAGAGCAAAAAAAGCCGATGAAGAAGATATTGACATATATAAAGTTAAGGATGTAAGTTTCTTGATTATATATTTGCCGTTACAGTATCGTTTCTATAAATAAGTCTTCTCGTTATACATATATATAACTGTGTTTACATTTATATTTATATCACTTCTCTAAAAATCGACTTCAACAGTATAAATGAGAAATTTTAAAGGGATTAGTGAGGTTGGGTATTTTTCATATCGCTTGTTAAGTTTGCAATTTCTAATTACTCTTTTTTAAGGATTCGGATGAAGAGCTAGATACAAAGCAGTCAACTTTGGTCGGCGAGGATGGTAAAGAAACATTTGTACAACATGTTATGGTTCCATCCCAAAAAGATATTGAAATATTGATTTTACAAAAGAAGAAAGCTCAGCTGTATGAAAAATTTATTCCTGACATGAAGCCTGATGATTTATAATGGTTACTGGTGTTTTCAATTGACGTTAAGGGACAGTTTGTAAATAAAGTGACTCATTATTGGGATTAGAATGTTGTTCTTATTTTCTGAACGTAGTTTTAGTGCTGCGCTTTTACCTAAATCGTTTTTAAAATTCTATCTATTTTTTAGAAGTATCAGGGAAGTGAAAGTTAGAGCGTCTATATGAAAAATCCATCTTTATCGTCATCTTCAATACGTTGTGCATGTTTTTAGTTTTATCGGCAGTACTTGTTCGGTGGTCTCATTTTCTGTCTTATTGTTATTTTTTGAGTGTTTTTTATGTGGTCTTTTATGAATGACTTATTTTTTTGTCTGCATAAAGTGTTTGTTAAGCTTTCTTTAACAACCGAATCAATGATATTAGGATGAGACAAAATCAGCAAATTTTGTAATTGGTAGATTTTAAAGTTTTTTGGTATACGTTCAGGATAGTTTTGGTGGAATTCCTCTTGTTTTGTATTCTAAAGGTTTGTTCAAAAACTAAGGTGTAGCGAGCTGGATTGACTGTGAAACGAGTGGGGGATATTTGGTTATCATTGAGTTGATATCATACTAAGAAAGCTGGGGAGATTAAGGAGTAGCACTAGCTGCGCGGATGGAATAATACCGTGCAGATGAAAAATTCGTATTTTCTTATTTTGATGGTTTTGATTTTTTTTTTTTTTTTTTTTTTTTTTTTTTTTT